TTCGTTCCGCCTGCTCAGACTTCATTCTTTAGAAAGCATAGAATGGGCACGTCCCTGAAAGACCTAGTGATTTCCTTAATAAGATGCTTATTTGTGCAGTTGTTGCTGGTCTTTTCTTTTCCACTCTGAAATGCCTGGCTTCCAGGGTTGAAAGTGGGTTCCTCCTATCAAAAATATCCTATTGTTTCAGGCACTGTGTTGTTTAACACTTCCAGCACCTGTTAGGGACTGAATGCTTGCATCCTCCCAAGATTCACATATGGAAGCTCTAACCTTCAATGTGATGGAATTTGGAGGGGAGTCTCTGGGGGGTAATTAGGTTAGATGATGGCATGAGGGTGGGGCTCACATGATGGGATTATTCTCTTTATAAGAAGAGAAACTAGAGCCTTTTCTTCCTTCACCTATATGAGGACCCAGTGAGAAGGTAGCTATCTGCAAGCCAAGAAGAAGACCATCATCAGGAACAGAATCTGCTGGCACCTTGATCCTGAACTTCCCGGCCTGCAGAACTGTGACAAATAAATGTGGTTGAAGCCACCCCGCCTATGGTATTCTGTTATAGCACCCTGAGCTGACTAAGACAACTCCTAAACAATTCTTGGGAAATTACTCTAAATCAGGGACTTTGCATTCCTCAGAGACAGGGGAAGGGAAGTTGGCAATAGTTCATAATAAATGAGGAAAATGCTATCTTTTTTAGAAATAGTTTGTATAAGATACAATTGTTTTGGCTTAATGCAAAAAAATATTCCCTTCAAGTGGGTATTTGTTTACTTGCTTACTCCTTCACTCATTAATTTATGGCTTCACTTTTCATTTACTCAACAACGTTTATATAGGACAGGTAATAGAGGAGACTTTGTGACGTTACAATAAAAGAGAGAATTCCCTGCCCTGGAGAGGCTTTGGAATAGTGGAGATACAAAGAAATAAATAATACAATGAAATGTTACAGGTGCTAAAATAAATATCAGGATATTTTAGGGCCACAAAAGGGTAATTTGAATCACTTCCATTTACTCATCATTAATGAATTCTTTAGGTTATTATTTTAAATGAGCCTATTATTGTTATTATTATTAAGTTATTTTTGAGACAGAGTCTCACTCTGTGGAGATTGAGTGCAATCGTGCAATCTTGGCTCACTGTGACCTCCATCTTCTGGGTTCAAGTGAGTTTCATGCCTCAGCCTCCCACATAGATGAGACTATAGGTGTGTACCACCATGCCCAGCTAGTTTGTGTATTTTTAGTAAAGATGGGGTTTTGCCACGTTGGCCAGGCTGGTCTCAAACTACTAGCCTCAAGTGATCCACCTGACTCGGTCTCCTAAAGTGCTGGGATTATAGGCATGAGCCACAGTGCCTGGCTGGATTATTATTATTATTTATAATGTTATCTATTATGTAAAAGATAATATAATATTAATATTATTAATTTAGGAATTAGTAATTAAAATATTTAATTCTAATGTGAATTAAAATATTAGCATTAATATTCATTAATAGTATCTATTGCTGATAGCATTCATAACGCAATTGACATGTTCAGACGCTGTGTTAAGCAGTATATATGCATTTTCTCAGTTTACACTCATGACGAATTAGGTCCATTTAGAAACCCTATTGTATACAAGAAACTGAGACTGGGGCATTAAATAAATTGCTCAAGGCCACACAGGACATAATGCAGAGTCAGAATTTTATCCAGCTGATCTCTTCCAAAGCTTGCCCTCTCCAGGCTATACTGCTTCCAGCAACACAGCTGCAGCACCATGTGAAATCAAGGTTTGTGCAAAGCATCAGAAAAATGCCATTTACTATTTCCCACAATCGTTTCCCTTTTCACAAAGTACCCTAAGGCTGGTACCTCCAAAAGAGAGAGGTTTGTTCCCTCCTCACTAGAAGCTTCATGATTTTACATCAACAGGTTGGGGATGCCAGTAACACAGATGGTTCTCAGAGGATGCAAGTAAATTTCTGGAATGTGGGGTAGACGGCAGAGCAGTTTCCCATGGCTTCTCAAAGGCGGAGATTTAATGGGCATGCCAATGCTTCCAGGTAACTGGTTAATTCTACTCCCTGTGGAAGATTCTGTATCCCCATGTCTCCTTCTTAGTAGGCAGGTTTAGTCTTTCTACATCACAAGGCAGGAAGCCAGCTTTTTTTTTTTGAAACGGAGTCTTGCTCTGTCCCCCAGGATGGAGTGTAGTGGCACAATCTTGGCTCACTGCAACTCTGCCTCCTGGGTTCAAGCGATTCTCCCACCTCAGCCTCCTGAGTAGTTGGGACTACAGGCACCCGCCACCATGCCCAGCTAATGTTTTGTATTTTTAGTACAGATGGGGTTTCACCAAGTTAGCCAAGATAGACTTGATCTCCTGACCTCGTGATCCACCCACCTATTCCCAGGAACCCCTCTAGGCTGGTTGGCACTTGTGGCTCCAAGTAATAAAGACCACTTGAGTTTGAGCTTTTGGAGAATTTCCCTCAGCCTTAACACACTTACACACAATGTTGCAGTAAGAAGAGGATGGCAGAGGGTGGAGATGAGGGCAGGACAGGGCTCTTCAAGTAGCTGGGGATAAGGTCACAGAACATCAGAGTGCCAGAAATAAAATTAAGGTCTTCTGATGTGTTCTGTAGCACGTTCCCTTCTGCAGGGAGCAGCCTCCTTGGAAGCTGAAACGGGGTTGGCTTAGAGCAGAAGCAAAGCAAAATTGGCATTTTTCTTAAGGGAGATTTTTTCCCCCTTTTTTTCTATTCTGGAATCTAAAGATAGACAGATTTTTTGGCTGTTTGCTAAATGCTTTCATTGGGGAGAGGCCCTATGTGGCTAAATTCAGTTCCTCCCATCTCCAGATAGTCTGACCTTGACCTGCATGCTTAGCAAAGCTGTGAAATGGAAAGCAAGTCTGGAAAAGACCAAGCAAAGACAGAACGGAAAGAAAAGACTCATTCAGGGTGACATTGTGGGGCAAAAGGTGTCTGATTACCAGGCTTTCTATTGCTACTTGGGCCCCAGCACAGGGAAGAGCGACCTAGGTTGGCCTTATAAAAAAATCGTCTTATTATTCAAGTAGAAAACATAAACAGTTATACCACTGAAACCTGATAAGGGTTTTTATGCTATCTGGTGAATATTAACCCTAGTTGTAGGTAGAAGATGACAGATTTAGAGAGATTAGAAACAAGGTAACATGTAAATAAAACCTCTACTTGTATAACTTTTTGGAAACAATGTGGCAGCTTTCTGCTATCTGGCCTGGAATCACTATGTCACCAAGGAAACCGTGTAGGTGGGTGTCTTTGCTCCTTTATCCATTCATTGTCAGTCACTGAAAAACGTGGTACTTACTCTGTGCTGTGGACAAATAAGATAGAAGCTCATCTGTTTCGGGGGAGCTTATAATGTTGAAGGAAGATCAAAAGGAAAAAGTACATGAACTTCAGACTCAGCCATGGCAGGGGCAGTATGAGGGACAGATCGGGCTAGGACCTTAGGCAGCTGTCTGCCTGGGTTGCTTTGCTTTGGGGTAAAAGAGCTAGTGAAGGGGAGGTTTGTGCTCAGCACTCAAACGGAGTTCAGGGTGATGGAGGGACAGAGGTCAAAGTGGTGAAGGCTGGCAGAATATGCCACCCCAAAATATGCCACTTTGACATAGGGATTACATCAAACAAAAGGCACTTGAAAAACAGCAGAGGCGAGATGGGCATTCTAATCTTCCCCCTTTCTTCCTGAAAACAGGAGATAAAGACTCCCATGAAAAAGATTCCCTCCCAGTACTAGGAGAAAAGAAACATTCTTTGATGGGGAGTCATAGCCAAGAGAATTTTGTACAAACAGACCTTGGTAAGATAATTCATATCTTCCTTTAGCTTCTACATATAATTAAGTTACTTTTCCACGATTGCCTCCCTTTGTTTGACCTAATATGTGTAGGTTTTGCTATATCTTTGAGTCTTTATTTTCTTATGAGGGATCTTGTATCACATAAAACTGAGAGTAAATCCGTATGCTTTTGTCCTGTTCATCTGTCTTCTGCCAATTTAATTCTCAGGCCTAGCTTGAACCCTAAGTGGGTGGAGGTAAAACTTTTTCTCCCCTCCACTGCAACTGTTCTCAAGGCTCTCCCCAAAGGAGAGAGGGCATGCATCCTATGCATCCTATGGAGAGAGGGCATTCCAGCTTCCAGGAAGTGTGGATGGGATTCCTTTGCATTTCTGCTTAGGTCACGGGAGGTACTGCCTCAATGAGAGCTGCAAGAGAGCCGCTCCTGCATCACTAGGGTCACAGGGTCACATCCTGGGCAGGCCCTCATCTCCCCGTTATCCCCTGGGCGATGGTCCTCATCACATGGGTCTCAGCACTGTTCGTGGGAATCCGAGAAAAATTCTAATGTGTGATAGCTAGGTGAGTTGTCATTTTGTTTACCAGTCATTGCTGAATGATTGACTTCTCTGCCTTGGCTAAATGCTGAATTTCTCCCCTAACAAAGCTCAACACAGACATACTCCCCGCCCACCCCATCATCCCTGTGCTTGGGCCTCAATTAAGTAGTTTGTGTAAAAATTTAAAAATTGTATCACAGTGGGCTGGGTGTGGTGGCTCACGCCTGTAATCCCAGCACTTTGGGAGGCCGAGGTGGGCAGATCATGAGGTCAAGAGATCGAGACCATCCTGGCTAACATGGTGAAACCTGGTCTCTACTAAAAGTACAAAAAATTAGCCAGGCATGGTGGTCCGTGCCTGTGGTTCCAGCTACTCCAGAGGCTGAGGCAGAAGAATTGCTTGAAACTGGAAAATGGAAGTTGTAGTGAGCCAGGATTGCGCCACTGCACTCCATCCTGGTGATAGAGCGAGACTCTGTCTCAAAAAAAGGAAAAAGAAAAAAAAGGGTAGCACAGTGTTCCATGGCCAAGCTTATTGACAATGAAACACTGTTATTATGATGCATCTACTGACATCACATTGAACACCAGTGTTCAGTGAATACCATTTGAAAGCGTTAGCCTAGTTTATTTTTCATGTTATACCTGAACTATGACCAGGGAAAGGACCATGTGCTGTTTCTGTGTACCCCAACCTCGCTGAATATAATACAAAACAGGTATTCATAAGTAATTTAGTGAGTGATTAACTCTGAGAGTAATTAACTAGTGCAATTTCAAACCCCTTTACTTGGACGATGTTCCATATTCCTTCAGAAAATTATCATTTTAGTAGATAAAATTCAAGAGATATTTTCATTACCTGAGAACCTGTCCTATGGAAGTGAAGAAAGTGGTACAATCATGTGCCCTACGTTCAATTATTCATTTTCTGCCACACTCTGAGTCTGTGAGCCGGAGGATGGTGATGAGACCATGAACACACACACACACACACACAGACACACACACACCCCAGTGAGTGTGATGTTCATTGTGATTTTCCATCTTTAAAACTTACCTTAATAATGGCTGCCCTTGCATTACTCACAATAGCCAAAAGGTAGAAGCAACCAAAACGTCTATCGCAGGACGGATGAATAAACAAAACGTAGTATATACATACAATAGAATATTATTCAGCCTTCCAAAGGGAGGAGGTCCTGACACATTCTAGGGTATGGATGGACCCAAGAACATTATGGTAAGTGAAATAAGCCAGTCATAAAAAGACAACTACCATATAATTTTACTGGCATAAGGTACCTAGAATAGTCAATTCATAGAGACAGAACGTAGAATTGTGGTTTCCAGATGCTGGGAGAAGAAAGAATTGTTTAATGGATAAAGAGTTTCAGTTTTCCTAGAGGAAAAAGACAGAGATTGTTGCTCAGCAATCTGACTACACATAACAAGACTGAACTGTACACTTAAAAATGGTTAAGATGGAAAATTATATTATGTATGCTTTATCACAATTAAAAAACAAAACAATAAATAACATTGCTTGATAATGATCACTGTACTGAAAATCAAGCTGAAGCCAAAATAACATTATTGTTACTCTAACGAAATGTTTACAGTTTTTATGTGGGAACTGTAAACAGATGTTATTCCTGTTCCTGGCTGTTAACTACTCTGGGTTCATCAAAGAGCACTGGAGATTGTTTGCACGACCATGTCATGTACTCTGCCCTACTGAATTGTACACTTACACATGATTAAGATGGGAAATTGTATGTTACATATATTTTACCACAATTGAAAGGAAAAAAAAAAGGACCTGCAGGCTCAGAAGTTTTACAATTTCTAAAGAGTCAGAGAGAGAAAAAGACACCTAAATATGTTTCGCTTAAAATTTCTTCAATGTTTATTATTTGAAACAAGTAGTGTGGTAATATTTTTTAAATTGCTGCCCTTATACATATTCTTTGAGCTTCTTCTTTCTTTTCTTTTTTTTTACGGAATCTCACTGTTTCCATAAAAAAATGGAGTGAGATTCCATCTCTGTTGCCTGGGCTGGAGTGCAATGGTGCAATCCGGGCTCACTGCAACCTCCGCCTCTCGGGTTCAAGCAATTCTCCTGCTTCGGCATCCTGAATAGCTGGAATTGTAGGCATGCACCAGCATGCCCAGCTAATTTTTGTATTTTTAGTAAAGACAGTGTTTCGCCATGTTAGCCAGGCCGGCCTCGAACTCCTGACCTCAAGCGATCTGTCCACCTCGGCCTCCCAAAGTGCTGGGATTACAGGCATGAGCCACTGTGCCCAGCCTCTTTGAGTTACTTCCACACTCTGGAGACAGCAATGCGTACTCTACATTGTTTCTGCATGCACTTTAGGAAGCCAAGCACACTCCCTTGATCCTGAGCTCTATTACATGATGAAACATATTTGCAGCTTTCATATTTTTCTTGGAAGGTTAATAGAGCTTTGTTTTCCTCCAGCACTGTGGTAGGGGCTGCTGGTGCTCACAACAGCCAAGGTCCCCTGTTCTTGGGATCTCAATAGATAACAGTTCTCAATCCCTGTGCAGCTGGGTGGGCTGTGAGACTACTTGCCATCAGAGTAGATATGCCTCACCTGAGAACAGTAGCAACTTTTCCAAGTGTGCTCTCTGCTCTTAAGCTGGCTAAATGGAGAAGATTCTAACATCTTAGAAGAGGACAGAGCTGTAAGAAGGAATAAGCCTGGATCCCTAAATGACTGCATGGAACAGAACTTTGCAGCAGCCCTGTATGGGAATGTAACCGGAACGAGAAATAAACTTTGCTGTGTTAAACCACTGGAATTTGGGACTTGTTAAGCTGTTAGCCTAATACAACCATCAAAAGTATTACAGAGACAGAATGTGTACTGATGTACCTATAAGCTAAGAAAAAGTCAGATAGGCAGGGAGCATGGAAATTACATGTTTCATGATTCCCAGGTGTAAGGGTTTTATATTGTTCATTAATCATATGGCAAATATGTTTAAATAAACATAGACAGGCAATTCCTGTTTAACAAATATCTCAAGGGAAAGAGGTTTTGTTGAGGCTTGGACCTGAATGTTAATGCCTCCTTTGGGCCCAGCACAGCAGGTACGGGAGAAATCAAAGTTAAAAGACTTCCCAGGGAAAGATAAAAATGAAGCTCAGGCGGGAAACTCAGGACCGCCCAGTACAAGAGTTTCTTTCAGCGTTCTACTCCCCCAAGTCTTAGAGATTTGAGATCCTCCATTAAAAGCAATGATCAATGCTGACACCAAAGAAAATGTAAGACACCCTGACTCTTAGAAGTTCTCCAGTATTATCCATGCAGTCCCAACCCTGGTCCCATCTCAGCCTTCGTTCCCAGTTGTTCTTACCAACAATTTGTGTCAGACACAAGATTCCTACATGTTAACCCTAGAGCTACAGACTGGCTGCCTGAACTCAGTGGTCCATGATAAACTTTTGGCCCAGTTGACTTGGAGGGAAGCCCTTGTTCTTGGCCCCAGTATGGACATTTGGCCAGTGGAAATATCAACCAGTTTGTCCTTTCTTGAGTAGAATGACCTCTCAGCTTCATATCTATGATCCTTTCAGCTCTGAAACTCTCATGATCCCTCGTTTAGAGGTTAGTAGAATACATTTTTATGACCCTTCAATGAGTTCGTGTTCATATTTTTATGACCCTTCAGTGAGTTCAAGCCTCTGCTTGACCTGGCACTGCCCCTCTATGACATGACGGGCTGCCTCTCACCTTTCCTGACTACAGCTATCCTGGGGTGTCAGTTCCTCAAAGTGCTAGCTCTTTCTCAGGGACTATCAATGGCTGGTTCCTGTGCCTCGAAATGCTCTTCTCTCAGTTCTCATCATGCTTAGCTCTTTGTCCTCCTGAAATCGCATCACAAAAGCCACCTCCACAGGGAAGCCTTCTCTGACACAACCCCCTAACACAGATCTCTGTACTGGTTACCTGCGTGCCCTCACAGCCCTCTCAGCCCACCTCTTCACCAGCCGTCACAGCAACAAGCTTCATTCTTGGTGCTTAGCATCTGGCAGCCCCTGGTCTTGGCTGTACCTGGCTTCTTTCGGTTTCTGCCCCAGGATTTCTCTGGTGTTACAGTGGGGGCTTTGCATTCACAGCCTAGGAACGGAAGGAAATGAACAACCCGTGACCATTGGGAGCTGGGGGACCATTGGGAGCTGGTGCTTATCTCTTCCTTCTGTGGGTTGGACAGTTTTGAGGTGTGTTCTCCTCTACTTTTTGGTGTCTGGGCAGAACTGTCCCCATGGCCCACAGCAGTGACTAACCTGAGAATGCACCTTTGTTTCAGCTTTTCCTCTTTTTTTTTTTCTCCCCAGTCCCCTCTTCTCTTCCCTGTGATCACTTCCCAAAAGAAACCACCTACATACAATTCTTTGCCAAGCTTTCGACAGATAGCTTATGCTAAGAGAGTCCTCCTCCCTTATTTAATATCTCAGGATATTTGTCTTTCTCATAGCACTTATAACAGCTTACATTAATTTTATTTTTTCCTATGGTTATATATTTTTTGTTCTGTCTAGATTAGAATATAAATGCCAGAGGGCAGGAACCTAGTCAGTTTTCAACTGTATCTTCAGCTCCTCATGTGTAGTTCCTGGCACAGACACGCCATCACTATACATATATGAAATGAATGAACAAATCTCAAAACTGCTTCTGTCTTATTTTTAAAATTACCCTTGTATTTTAGGAATTGAGAGACAATATAACATGCTTGTTAAAAGCCTACGTTTTTAGTTCCTGGCACAGACACGCCATCACTAAATACATATAAAATGAATGAACAAATCTCAAAAATTCCCATGTCTTATTTTTTAAATGACCCTTGTATTCTAGGTATTGAGGCAATGTAACATACTTGTTAAAAGCGTACATTTTGGAGTTAGACATTCCTGACTCTGCCACTTAAATAGCTCAGCAGCCTTAAGCCAGTTACCAAACCACGTTGAACACCAAGTTCCCCAACTGTAAAGAGGGATTCATAATAGTACCTGGTCCGTGGGATTGTTACGATGCTGAAATAAAATGTATAGAAAGCTCTCAGGTCTGGCACACAGAAACCACCTAATATACTTTTAAACTATTCATTTAGCTAAAATTTGAAATTGCACAAATGTAATCTTCACTTTAGACCTTCCAAATTTGTCAGTCCTTTACCTACATTTTCCAAGTGTGTTTGAGATGAATAATATCAGCCTAACGACTTGTAGCTGGGAAGCAAATGATTTGGGTGTGTCTTGCTCTTTAAACGTTTCACATGTCTTTGGTTTCCCCTGTGAAGTGCTTTGGGAACATATTTAATAAAAACAGACCAAGACCAATGCTGATGTGTACGTTAATTTCCTCCATTTCTTGTTTTTTGAGGGATTTACTTCCATATGATTACATTTTTAAGTTGTAAGCTAGGACCACAACCAGATAATAATCACAATCATACACTCTTGGTGTTTTTTGAAGTTGTAATAATAATTTAAGCAATGATCAAATATTATACTAAGAAATGCTGCTGGAGTGAGAATTGGGAACGGATGCTGTCACCAACATGAAATTGTGTCTCGGACTGTGCACACTCCTGCCCTCTCCCCACCAGCTCTATCAGTAGTAAGGTCTATCTCTTCCAGATAGAAGGAACTCAGGCCCCATCAATACTGGCTTTCCTCTGATGAGAAAATGTGTGCCTACTTAGAGGTTGAAGAATGTTAGTATCTTGGTTCCAGTGAACTTCTCTTCTACAGAGTCACCCCAGAGAAAGAGCAAAACCTGGAGAGCTTTTATCTGCCTTGGCTCACAAGCCTACTCTCAGGTGACTTTTAGAAATGCTTATTAAATCCATTCAACCCTTGGGAGAAAGAAAACACAGAAGCTGCGTTTTGGAGTGCTTAAAGGTTCAACACAAGACAAAGACACTGTGTGTCAGCAGGTGGGGGCAGAGTTGTTGATTCCTGGATGTTATTCTTGGGCTGCGGAAGGGAGTCAGTGCTGGAATTCTTCTGTCGTTGTTAATTGAGCCTCTTTGCTTGCAAAGAGAAGCTCACCCCACTCCTCACCTGACTTCCCTCTTCACTTTCCCTTCTGACTAACCCTTACCTGCATCAGAGCCAAGACAGGCTCCACGACCTGTGGCCGGGGTTGCGTAGGGAAGGCAGATGGGTGGCGTGACTCTAGGAAATAGGGTGATGAAGAGGGAGGCATTGTAAGTCTTAGGAGTTTCCCTCGATGTCCTGTTGCAGTGCACCATGACAAAGGAAGAACACTGAACAAGGGAAGCCGGGAAGTGTTGTGCAGAGTTGAAGACAGGAGAGCCGACTTTCAGCCCTGATCCTGCCACCGAACTCTGTGAGCTTCTCCTCTTTGGGCCTCTGTTTCCCGGAGATTGGACAAGCAGTTTTCTAAGGTCTTTCTCTTCTCACTCAGTGTAGGCAGTTGACGATGCTGCATAAGCTGATTTTTAGCCCCTTGCTTCATATCACCTGGTTCTGCCCACATCCCACTGTCAAATGGTTCCTGGTCTCGACAGGGAAGCTAGTGCTGTGGCCTTTGCCATAGGAGTCTGATTTTTGATGCCATTATTTTTCATGCATATTAAAATAATATTTTAAGTCTTCTGTGTTTTGTTCTGTTCTTTCAGTCAGGAACAACGTGCTTCAGAGATGCACATGGCCTGACCTCTGTGGTACGAGTAAGGGAGCTCCATGAAGACAGTGAGATCTCCTGAAGTTATACAGATATGTGTAGACATATACCTATATGTGTGTGTCCGTATGTGCAGATATGTGTGTAATATATTTAAATAACATCTACTTTTTCAAAAGTTCTTTTAAACTATTCCATGTGATTTTATGACAATTTCGTTTGGTTATATTCTATTTATCTTCATTGCTTTCTGGCCTCATTGCCATTCTGTCCACATTGCTGCTCAAAGCAGAATTGTAAGAACACCTTGAGGTGTTTTTAAATTAAGCCAGTAAACAGCTTTAGCCGACACCTCCAGCATGGCACGGTGACAAAAGCCAACACAAACAGGGAGTGGGAGGTTTGCTGACAGCTCTGTGCACTGAGACCTCAGGACTGGTTTGGCGAGGCAGGCTCAAAGTCAAGCAGTGACTCGTGGAGGAGCCAAAAAGGACTCAATCATGTTGTCTCTTGTATCAATTCCCTCAGCAGGGAAGGGAAATCTACAAGAGACTGACTCCTCCTTTAGTCAAAGCAAGAGAAGAAGCACACAGGAAGAGGTGGGATGCAGATCCTGAGACACTGACTCAGCCGCTGCTGTATAAGATCTCGGTGCTGCAGCAGAGCTGGGTCCACATATCTCCTTCTGTGTTTGGTGTCCCAGAGCTTTACTTAGAACTCCATTGTTACCCTGCGTATTTAAGCCACTGGTAATGATGAGAACTGTTCTTCCTTCTACATAAGTTCGGGTCTCCTGTCCAGGGTTGGCTGGTACCCTATGTTGTTGGGGATCCTGCTTGTGTAAAGTACCAGGCACCAACAAATGCTCTTCAGTTATTGGAAGCCTTAAAAATCTAGGAGAGTTTGTGGGAAAACAAAGGAAAGGGAGAAGATAAAAGCATGCATTGCAGAGGGCGGTGCCAATGTGCTGTAACCCACATGCTAAGGCTCCATAGAGCCTGTGAGCCCAGGCAAGTGACTTAAGTTCTTTGTGCCTCATCTATAAAATGGTGATAACCAGACCTATCTTGCAGGCTTGTTGTGAGCATTGCATGTGTTAACACATGCAAAGTGCTTACAGCAGTGCCCGGACCACAGTCAGAACTTCATAGCAGACCCTGTTGGTTCCCTGTCGGCACCTGTGGCTACTCCCCATTTTGTGCACTCCAGATGGCCCTGTACTATAAGAATTTGTGAGTCTCTGCCTGTAGGCTCCCTCTGGCCTCCTGAGCTCTGCATGCAGGTCTGGCCACAAGGGCTGAGAAGGGAATAGATAGCAAGCAGCCCTCAACCAAGATGGGATTTGGTGTGTAAAT